GTTTTTATTAAAAAAATTAAACTTTTTAATAAAAACACAGGCAAATTTGCCTGTGTTACAATTTAAGGGATAGTAGCTCTATATTATATTATATAAAAAAAAATAATTCTTTAAATTCTAATTCTAATCCTAAAAATAATGGGTTATTTTGATTATATTTTAATAAATAAATTAAAAAAAATTAAATTAAAAAAAAACAACTCTTTCCAATGATCATCTGTACCAAAAAATCTAAGCACATTTTTTTGTAAAAACACAATAGTACTAGTAAAACATGGAGGGCATACTAGTTGCTATAAGTCAGCAGTTGTTATTTAGAGATAGTTCTAATATGCTACTTGCTAACTTCTTCAGAGTTTATCACTCACTGCATGCACAGCACTTGTTATTTAGAAGTAGTTTTCATACGCTATTTGCCGACAAGCCCAGAGTTTATTACTTATCGAAAAAAGAGTATAGGTGCTCCACCCCTTTTCTAGAAGAAGGTTTAGGAGTTGTTGAGTCTTTACATGAATATAACTACTTTTCTTGGGTGCAAGTGGTCTCTCCCTAGGTGTTTTTTGCTCGGCCAGTCTTCTCCAAAATTTTCGACAAAAAGTGGGCAATTTGGCTTATCCTCTCTAAAAAATCAGCATTGTTTACCTCCCAAATTCGGACATATCCAGAAATGCAACCACATGTCTTGTTTATCAATGGATACAATACGTGATGTACTCTATGGATATGTGTTCTCCACGTGACTGGGATCAGGTCTCTGGCAAAAGAGGTATCTGAAGGTGGCTGGTAGTCAGATAAAAATTTGTTAGATTTTATAGTCGAAATATACAAACATTGCAGTTATAAAATATTTTCTTAGACCTGGCACAGGTTATAATAGTGTACTTTTCTTTTTTTCTTTCGTTCCATTTGTACTGCTTCTTGATAGAGGTAGTTCTCTCCTTTGTTGGCTTTCGGGCTTTTCTCTTTGTTTTTTTTTTTTACATTTCATTGTACTCCTTTTTTTTTTCCTTTAAAAATTTCTTTTCATTCTATTTGTTTGTTTTTAGTTAGTTTTTCATTTTGTTTTCTTGGTACTATTGGTGGTTTTGTATTAGATATAAGATCATCACTTTTTTTTGCTCTCGGTAAAGAAAGAGAATATGAAGAGAAAAGCTTTGACAGGCTGACAAAGTTTATCTAACTTGTATACAGGTTGGTATGACAAGTTACATGTGGGCATGTTTTATCGCAGCCGGGTGATGTCAGGCTTGCAATCGCAAGACTCCCTGTTATGGTTATGAATAATTTGTATTGTTTGAGAGAGTTCAACTCTTATCTAAAATATAGTCTCAAATAAAAGAGCACTGGCAAGACTGTCAAAGAATTAAAAAAAAAAAAATTAAAAAAAAAATAAATTATATAAATTAAAGCTTATTAAATCTGGTTTTTTAATAATAAAAAAAATAAATTAAATAAATTAAAGCTTATTAAACCCAGTTTTTTAATAATAAAAAAAATAAATTAAATAAATTAAAGCTTATTGTTGTAGTGCTACATAATACCATATAACTAGTAATCAAATATATGGTGATTAAACGTTATGATCTAATTAATGTATAATATATCAGAAATTATAATTTAATTAAAAGTCTAAAATAGTAATTATATAAACAATATAGTAATTATTAGCAATTAGTATTGCATAAACAATATAGCAATTAGTAATAATATATAAGACATCGATCCAAATAAAGGAAGTGCCTAACTTTTGTTCTTAGTGAATAAACTGTTATCTACTGTAAGTAATCATATTGTATTGGTGGTAGTATCTGGTACGATACTCCAGTTGTTGTATTGTTACAATGCTATAGTCTTCAGTTCACAATATAGCAAGATAACAAGATCATTCACTGTAGAGAAACTTATGTTAAAAATATACAGGGAGTGAAGTAAAGTATTTCACTATACTTTATAGCAGCAGGCAAATGGTTTAGAATAGTAATGGTATATTGTATTAACTTTATTAAACACAGATGTACTGATGATAATCTTGCCTGTAGGATTTATTCTAGAGGGGGAATATCACACTATACAAATATAAGAAAGATAGAATAGTATAAGACTAAATTATATGAGAGAGTAGAAAAACTCTCTAACTTGAGCAGAAGGGGCAAAGGCTTTCTTTTTATAACTTTTTTATATATAAAAGGTGTAATAGCTAAACCATATAAAAGGTATAAAAGGTATAAAAGATACAAAAGATATAAAAGGTATAAAAGGCAAAAAAATTCAAGAATCAACTCTTTCTAACGATCACTTGGACCAAATTTTCTGACAAAAAGAAAAGCCTATTTTCGATACTGGAGAGTAGTAACCTGTAGTGAGGTAAATCAACAGGGCAGTTTTTATAAAAATTGACCTTTTTGCTATCTTGGGGACTTCTTTATATATTTGACATGCAAGCCAAAAGTGTCTGTATACAAGATAACTGGCAGAAGATGGTGCCCTCGTATATGAAATTTTAGTGGATAGGTGGAGGTGATAGAAGTTCAAACCTACCGTCGACGAAGCTATCGGTTGCAAAACAACTGGGGAACAATAAAGAACGGGCTTCTTTCAAGCTGCACTTCTTTTTATTGACCAAGTGGTACCTACTATCCTTTTTCTGCTTCTCTGCCTTTCTTCCAAAATTTTTCGACAAAAAGTGGGGATTTGGCTTACCCCCTCCAAAAGATTGGCATTGTTTACTTCTCAAATTCGAACGGACTAGTAGATTGCAACCACATGTTTGTTTATAGATGGATATGGCACTACTGTATGGGACTCGGCCCAAAAACTCTAATTATAGCGGAAGGAGCCTTGATATAAGTCTTTGGACAATGGAGCCATCCGAATTCAGTGAGAAGGTCAGAAAGAAAATTTTAATACCAAGGTGGAGCTTTACTTTTACAAAAAAGATATACAAATGTTGCATTTATTATATAATTTTTACCAATCTTGCACAGGTTATAATAGTGCCTTTAGGATCTTAGTTTTCTTTTCATGTTTTTTCTTTTTCGAAATCTGTGTTTATTTTTTTCTTTTTGTTTCTTTGTTTTTCTTTTTGGTCATTTTCATATTTGTTTTTTGATTTAAACTTTTCCCCCTTTTGTCTCGTGCTCTTTGAGAAGAAGGAAGAATTAGAAGGGAAAAGAGGTCCTGAGGTGGGAGCTGAGCCTCGGCTATATTATATCTTTAAATACGGCGCACCGTATATGGGGTATAGTGGTCAATATCAGTGCGATAACCAAGGTTGGACATCTTTAAGAGACAGCTGGCTTTTAGTCTAATTCCTTATTAAGTAGCTTGGTCTTGTATTAAGTGTTATATATTTAATAAAATTTTAGTATGCAGTTATCTAAGAAAAAAAAAAAAAAAAAAGGTATAAAAGGTATAAAAGTCATAAAAGTTATAAAAAGCACAAAAGATATAAAAGGTATAAAGGTACAAAAGATATTATCTAGTTAACTAATAGTTTGTTTGTCATATATTGTAGCTTGTTTTAATTATTACAATCTTCTGGATCTAATAAAGATAAAATTTCTAATATGTTCTATAATGTTAACACGTTCTATAATAGTATATTGCTAAATGGGTTAAAGACCAATAGTAAAGTTAAAGAAGTACATAGTAGTTTGAGTAACTTTGTGACATAAAAGACCTGGGTAAATAAAGGTTTTACTCGCAAAATAGGGTTAATTCGTGTATAGAAAAGAATAAAGGCCATGCTTGCCAAAAGTTGTGAATTGATTGTCTTAGTGGTATTTGTTGAATGGAAAGTTGGTGTTTAAACATAGTAGAAGAAATACAAAAGAATATTATTAATATAAAGTTTAAATAAATAAAGACTTTCTGAACAAAAATAACAAATACCTGAGTAATAAACAAATGAAAATGGAGGATATTGATCTTTTGGTATCGTTGGTTAAGAATATGGTGAAAATTGTAGCTAAAATCGTGAAAAACTTGAAGTTGAAGCAAGTAAAATAACATCATTATAAACCTCAGCTATGTTATATATACTGATATAAAGAATATTTAGCTCTTGATTGTTCAAATCAAATGGAGCATGAACATGGTATATTGATATCTGAAAATGGAAAAGTAAAAGCAATGAATTGAAGAAAAAGAAAAATCATATGTATTTGGTTAATAGAATTGAGGAGATACAGTGTATGAAGTTCGATAATAATAAAAAATATATGAAAGGTAATTAAATGTATAGTAGAAGTGTTTAAAGAAATAAACAAAAAATGAAAGAAAAAGTGAATGTTAATTTAAGTAATTAAGATAATTCGAAAATAAGAGAAAAAAAAGATAAAAAGAAGATAAGTATGGTAAATTATAAATAAATGAATTGACTGAAAAAGATTAAACTGAAAAACAATTATAAAAATAAAGAAGTAGGTGATACTATAACTATTAGAAATGAAAGTAGTGCTGATAACATGGATAGAAGAAATAGATTTGAGCATAGTTATCAAAATAAAGTTGAAGCTAAAACTGAGAGAGATGAGGTGTCTATTTATAGTCAAGGGCCTGCAAATATAGCTAATCCTAATAGAATATTTATAGTGAAATATTGTTATCAACATGAGATTAGTAGTAAGAAAGATGAATATAGTATATTAATTCATCATCAAAATCCTGCTGACATGATTTATTATAATATGCTATATAAGGTTGTATACAATTATAAAGATGGAATTGATTCTGAAAATAATAAAGAAATAAAAAATATTAAAAATAACAAAAACAAGATGTTTAACCAATATTTGAACTATGTTGAAAATGGAAATTCAAATAGAAGAAGTAATCTCAAATCCCATTATAATAAAGATATAGGTATAACCAAAGAAAGTGGTAATTTGATTGATATAAATGAAGAGAAAAGTAACAATTTGCTAATGTTAAGTGAGAAAATAATTCAAAAAAAGCAGGCTAAGAAAATAGCTTGAAGAATTGAATATGGTGAAGAGGTGTATAATAAAGCTGCTGAAAATAATTAGAGAGAATATTTTAAAGTAATAGTAACCCAGAATAGAATAAATAATAAGAATAATAGATGTATAAGTGATATGAATAAAATAGTTGAGATTGAATATTATTATTAAAATGAACTAGTAGTAGTGATGGAAGCATCATTAAATGAGATTATGAAAATCAATACTATAATAAAGGGTTTGCTAAAATTACTAACAAAAAATATATGTGATAGCAATGATATAAACAATGAAAATAGTAAAATTCAAGATGCAAAAATCTTTAGATACAAGGAGATAAAAAGTAAAAATTTTGTTAATAATGTTGAAAGCGATAAGTCTAGTAAGACAAAATCTTGTATAGTTGGCCTTGAAAAAGACAAATCTAAAATATTTGAATATTATTAAAAATCAACAGAATTGAGAAACGATGGAATATGTAGTAAAGACTGTTACCATTATAATGAAATTGGTATTGATATAGATGAAAACAAGGCATCTAAATAGTATTTGAAATTAGCAAAAGGTAATAATATGTGTAGATAAAATAGTCTTGGATGTTGTAATAAAAAGAATAGTTGTATAGAGAAGGATAAATATGAAGCATTCATTTATTCATTATCAAAAATATGCTAATATGGGTAATCCTAACAGAGTATTTGATGCTTGAAGTTGTAACCATAGTAGAATAAGATTTAAAAAAAATAAGCCTGCAGCATCTATTAACCACCAAAAATCTGATAAGGACGAATGTAAAGTATCTGAATGCTATTTGAAATGCATTGAAAGTGACAATTTGAATGAAGATAATAATATTGTGACAATAACAAATTTGGTAAAAATAAATGGACAATTAACAAATACATTGATTAAAACCAGTTTATATATGAACTTAATAAATATAGATTATGTGGAAAAGAAAAAGTTTATCAGAAGATATTTGAACAATAGATCAACTATAGATGATACATATAATGATGAGTTTGTTAAATATATTCCTAGTGTTGAAGTTAACATTGACAGTGTTAAAGTAGTTCAAAAGTTCTATATAAAGTATAAATTGTGTTGTGATGTTATTCTTGAAATGTCATGGGTTGTAAAAACAAGGTGTAGTATTAAATGAAAAGATAGAAAATATTGTACAATTCAGTCCAGTTATAGTGAAATGATATTTATAATTTCAGAAGAACCAATTATTGATGAAAACATTGTAGATAAAGATTATGAGATAAATAAAGAAAATCAAAGAAAAATCAGATTTGTGGATGTCAGGAGTGTTAAAGGTGAATTGATAGAGAATAATAGTACTGATGAAGAAAAAGAAAACTGTAGTGATATGGGGCCTGATGTAAATCAGGTAATTTCTATCTCTTAAGAGGCTACCCCACCCACCCACACCTAATACCTTATTAGCCAATCAAATTGCACAAAAAATTTATATATTAATTAATAAAAAATTTTAATTTCATATAACTTTTGACCTACTAGACCAATTTGGATCATTTAGCTACCAAAATGATCCTCTCAATGACCTGATTCTAACAAGCCTGAAATCATCAAAATCCAATTACTAGATGCTGAGATCAATATAAATTTGTATATTATATATTATATATATTACTATATATAGTATTCAGGATTGGCATAGACTGGTCAATACTCAAGCTTGACCAGACTAGTTTGACCAATTTAACCAGTAGGTCAAATAGTTTAGTATTGGTCAAATTGGTCAAAGGATATTTAAATATAAGGGGGATAGGGGTATTATGGCGAAGAGGGTATTATGGCGAATTTGCATTATTTTGTGATCCCGTGATCCAAATAGAATAATGTTTTCACTATTCGAATCCTCTCAATGAAAGGATTCGAATGATATAAAATTGCTTAATTTGGACCACTGGATTACAAGATAAGAAAAGTAGAATGTTAAATTGGATATTATCGAGTATTATAGCAAACCATCGGTTACATATTTTACAAAATATGCATCGATATAACGAAGAATATCATGTGAAGATCCAAAATTAAAGTTTAAATTTATGTAATTTTGATATAAGTTAAATTAAATTTACACCGTGCAGTTTAGTTTGTAGCACTTAACATTTTTCATTACCTCTTTTTTTTTTTTTTTTTTTTTTTTTTCGCGTTTCATAACAACTGATACAATAAATTTTAAATCAGTTGTCAATATTTACTTGCACATTTAATAAAAAGTATAGTTTATTGAACTAACCACGTGTTACATAAAAGTACACATTACTGTATAGTTTGTTACATTACTATGATACTTTTAAAGATAGAATAAATTACGTATACGTATAATATTGTAATAAACTAACATGCCACCAGTCTCTTATATTAATCGGCAAGACACTATTCAAGCAGCATTTAATGAATTAAATAATTGCTCTTCTAATTCTAAACGTCCAAGTGTTAATAGTGTTGCAAAAAGTTTTGGGATTCCAGAAACTACTCTTCGACGTGCTGTAAAAAACGATGGTCCTCTTAATCGTTCAGGCCCACCAACTATACTTACTGAGCATGAAGAAAACCAACTTGCAGGTTATTGCATTAATGTGCAAAGGCTCGGGTTTGGTCTAACAAGATCTGGTGTTAACCATTGTGTAATGGAGATCTTGAGACTAAACAAGCGAATACATTCTTTTGGGGATAGTGGGCCAGGTTAAGATTGGTGGGCGCGTTTTATGAGAGACCATCCTGAACTATCGTTTTGTACTCCCCAAGATTTATCAGAAGCACGTGCCCAAAGAGCTAATGTGACTATTGTAAAGGATTACTTTGAAAAACTTAGTAAAGTTATTGATGAAAATTCACTTACTGCTACACAGATCTGGAATATGGATGAAACTGGCTTCGCCCTTATTCCTAAATCTGAAAAAGTTGTTGCGCGAAAAGGTGCACGCCAAGTTCACAAAGTGGTACACGGAAATACTCATAAACATATTTCTGTAGTACTAACTATTTCAGCCACTGGGTCATGTATACCACCTTTATTTATCTATAAAGGTGTTCGTGCAATCCCAGGTCTATTAGAAGATGCACCTCCCGGAACCGTCATGGGTTTCACAGATACTGGATACATGCGTGAAGATCTTTTTCAAATGTATCTTAACCATTTTATTAATTCTATCTCACCTACCTGTCCAGTTCTATTGATACTTGATGGTCATAAAAGTCACATTAACTATATGAGTGTTGACTTTTGTCACAACAATGGTATCTTTCTTTTCGCATTACTACCTCATACAACACATGTTTTACAACCGTCTGAGATTCCATTTGCCAAATTAAAAAATGAGTATAGTAAAGCAAGTGATAAGTATCATAATAACAATAATGGCAAAATAGTTACGAAGCATACCTTTGCAAAGATTCTTGGTCTCGTTTTTGCAAAAACTTATACACCACTAGTTATTTATAATACCTACAAAATGACTGGGATATGGCCCTTTAATCCTAGTGCAATTGGTGATGATCATTTAGACCCTTCTTTAGTGACTGAACAGTTTAAAGATTCAACTTTAGATAATTTGCCTTTTGTTCAGCCGACTGGTATGACTCTAACATCACCACCACCTGCACTAACAAGTCATTCTCATTCTACTCGCCTAAGTATTGAGAATTTAAAAGAAGATAGCATTTTACTAAGGAATGAGAATGATTTGTTAAAATCTCAGATTAAAAAACTAAGTGAAGAGCTAGAAACTTACAAGAACCCTGGAACATATGCATTGCGTCTAGCGTTTAAATATCCTATTTCGCAAGTTCAAAATTCTCAAGAGGCATCTGAATCTGTATTGCCTCCCCCTAAAAAAAAGAGAAAGACACTCCCATTTGCTCGACTTTTGACCAACGAAGAAAGTTGGCAGTAAATAAAAGAGGTGAACGAAGAAGCTGAACAAAAAGCTGAAGAAATTAGGCAAAAAAAGGAGGCTGCAGCTCAAAAAAAAGAAGCAGCGGCCCAAAAAAAAGAAGCAGTGGCCCAAAAAAAAGAAGCAGCAGCCCAAAAAAAAGCAGCAGCCCAAAAAAAAGTGGAGGCAGTCAACCGAAAAAGAGGTCGGCCAAAAGCTAAACCTAGTACAGATAACAAATCAGGTTAAAAAAAAATTTTTTTGCCACTAAAATTAAATTCACCATAATACCTCTATCGATCAAATTTTAGATTTAAAATAACGTTGCACATGATAATGATTCTTTGGCCAACTCTGATTTTTGTACTCTTTTTTTTTTTATATTAGTTTATTCTTGAATATAATTTGAATCGTTTGCTATAAATATTTGGATATTTATATGGGTTAATAAAAAGTTTTAATAATAGCAACTTTAACTTCGCCATAATACCCCTATCCCCCTTATATTTTTTTTTTTTTTTTTTTTTTTATTGATAACATATACTGAAGATTGGCCAGGCTTTGCCAAGACCCCAATTCGGAGCCACCTGACTGTTTGCATCAGATCTTAGGCCGGCTTTCCCTGCGGAACGCCCAACCTAGTTACCTCACTGATTATTGACCACAATACCCCATACACAGTATTCATATTTAAAGATATCGTATAACCTCAGGCTTCAGCTACTCCATTGCTAAAGTACATGTCCCACCCATGTATTCACCCAGACTTCAGTAAATTTACACTATAGCTTGATCCATGCACTTGTGGTTAGGGCTAACCATTAAATCTCTGCAACTAATTTGTACAAGTACCGATCTAGTATATATATTACTATATATTCCAGGTCCCTCCCCCCACAGTGTTGCAGTTCCCAAATCCATTACCTTCCTAATTAGTCACCTATTACCTACTTCTTGCCCTTATTAGGTTCACAGCAAACCTGGTACCCGCATTTGAACTGTTTTCTTATCCAGATTCTTTATTGGTCTCTTCTTTATTTCCAGCCGGCAACTCAGAAAAGTCGGTCTGCCCAGGCTTTAGATACCTGAAGGATGCCCTCCCCTTGGTACATACTTTCGAAGCATATGTTCTTTTTCTTTGGTGTGACAGAACCT